GTAGTAGTAGTAGTAGTAGTAGTAGTAGTAGTAGTAGTAGTAGTAGTAGTAGTAGTAGTAGTAGTAGTAGTAGTAGTAGTAGTAGTAGTAGTAGTAGTAGTAGTAGTAGTAGTAGTAGTAGTAATAGTAGTAGTAGTAGTAGTAGGCCTAGTAGTAGTAGTAGTAGTAATAGTAGTATCATCACCATTATCGTCATCATGGTTACGATTATTATTATGATGAATGTGATCATGATTATACATATGATGATGTTTATTATTGTCATCATCATCATCTTAAGTTCTCTTAGTTGCATTGACACTTAGTTGCTGATATGATCTAATACATAAAAGCAACAACAACCCCACACAATAAAATAGTACAAAGTGGATTTCTAAATGATAATAACATTTTCAATTTTGTTGGTTTGTATCCTAAAGTGTTTGTCTTTTTATGTACACATTTCACATGCACGATAAAAAACCCCCAAAAAAACAACCCAACAACAAAAGGGGAAAAAGTCAGCCGCAAAGCCTTTTATCAAATTGTTATGTATTCTCGACCATCCAATTAAGTCGTTTTGTCAGAGCAAGAATAAAACGAATAAATTAGGCTCAAACTCGCGAAAACAAACGAGATAGGAAAGATTCTTCTCAGAAATACACTGCACGGCAACACACGGGAGCAGGTACACACAGGTGCCGGGGCTTGATTTCTTGTCAAAACATGTGAGTGTGTAGCAGTGGTGGAAACGTTTATCACACCTGGATGTTTTTGTGACCTATTTCATGGACTTGGGTGCGGTGAAGAAACCATGGATGTTCGGCTTGACCCGTGATAAACAGAACAGGATTATAGCCAACTGACTTTGCTTCTGAGCGAAATATCTTGCAAAGGGCTCGACTGAGTTTTGGATTCAAGAGAAGGGCGTTAACCATTGACAGGAAAACAAATTGTTGTTTAGTGAAGAGCTAAAAAGAGCGAGGTAGACAACGAAACAGAGAGTTCTTTTCCACATTTAGTTTTAACAAGAACAAAAATCCCAAACAAACACAAACAAACAAAAATGCATAGAAAGCAATGAAGACAATTCGCCTGCATCCTCGGTGTATTGGTCTAGTGGCTAGCCATGGCACGCAAGAGACTTGAGTTCGATTCTCATGAAGGATAGGATTTGTATCGATTAATGTTTTTGTCTTTTTCCGAGGACATTGTTCTCCGGCAGGTTCTGCCAAAAATAATTTCTGAATTACTTCTGTTTTGACTATACAATCATTTGTTGTTATAAAAGAATTTTTGTTTATGTGCTGTGCACCCCCCCCCCCCCAAAACTACCTTTTCTGTGTGACTACTTAAAAAAAATAATTGCTTTTTTTTGCATTGGATAGGCCTACTTCTACTTTTTTCTTTTTGCGTATTTTATTAAATTGGCGATTTTTGTTTGTCAGTTTGTTTGTTTTGCTGATTCTTATTTCAAATACATATTATTATTTATGTGTCGGTTAGCATTTCCTTATTCCAAGGAGCTGATTGTTGTCAGCTGAAAAGTGATGTCCAAGTGAAAGAAATGAGAGGTATTCTCGTTTTGAGAGTTAAACGGTTGGGATACTTATAAGGGTTTTGCTGGTATTTTCTAAGCCTATAATATTCATCTCCATGGGTTAAATTCTCGGTAACTTAAAAAACCCAAACTAGGATCAACTAATGACAGTTAGCATTCGTACTTTCTGACTAATTAGAGGGAAATGCATGTAGGTATACTGGCATCTATGAAGCCGTTGTTGCTGTTGTGTACAAAAGGTGGGAATTCAATTGACGTTCGAAGAAGCTTAATTTCTCATGTATCACAATATAATCCGCCCCATCCTTGATACACAGGGACGAAGCAGCATTCCCCCTAAGAAATATTAAAACATCCGTCAATTGGGGCCTAAAATAAAATCAGTAGCTAAGTTAATGATAATAATATGCATAGTAAAGACAAACGTCCTACCCTGTCAAGGTATAATTTAACTCATAATCAAGACACAACACAGAGCATAGCCTTATACTATTACCTGTGATACTCCATAAGGTTCCCTTTTTTAGAACAACAATAACAGGATGTACAGGTGACAGGGTTTCCGGTAGCCACTGTTTGAAGTGTTATTGTGAGAACTATTTTTCGCCTCTAGAAAATTAAAGTAATTTAGATCTTTTAGAAGCGGACTGTTTCGAACCTATACCAGGCAACGACAAGGCAGCTCACGTGGGACACCTGCAGAAAAAAGGACAACCTTTAGGATATTGGTCTAGATACTTGTCCCCCCATTTGGAGTCGGGATTTGTGACAAATGGACGTCAGTCCGATTCTCCCGTCGACGAGGCAATAACTTTTTGCCCGTCATTGTCTAGCACCAGGTGCCCATTGCGGATGGGTTCGGGTCGGATCGGATCTATCGCCCGACTCGTCGCCAGAGAACAAACGCGTTTTTTTATGCCACGATAGCCGCTTTGCATTCTCAATCTTGCTTGCAAACCGACCCGACCCAATCGTGCCAATGGGCACCCGGTCTAACGATGAGCAATGCATCCGCAGAGGAGAACACGTCACAAGATAGAAATATACGAATTAGGAGAACTAAAGATGATGACTTGTGACTTGTGCAAGGGTGGACTGCATCAATTCTGAAAGAGAAAAGCTTGCCACAATGCGGTCATTCAAAAGCCACAGTTCCACCTGTGAATGTCCGCAGCTGTCGGGCTTCTCTCTTGGTTTCAGCATTCATGAAACCTCATATGTCTTGTTTTTCACTGTAACTGCTGCTTTTCATCTAGGTCTGTAAAGAACTAAGCTCTCCCATGTTGAAGGATTTATGTTAAAGTTCTTCAGAGACATTTTCTGGGTGTCTTTGTAGCACTTTTTTTGGCAAGCCAGCTTTACGCTTCCCCGAGGACAGGCCAGATTAGAATACTGCCTTTGGGATTCTGACAGGCATTCTTACGACATGGTCAGCTCAGCGCAGTTGAGACCGATTAAGCTTGGAAAACCTACTATCGGCATATGCCATTTTGAGAACTTTGGTGCCAGATATTTTATCCATTTGATGCCAAGAATTATCCTGGGGCATTTCTCATTGAAACGATTAGGCCTTTTGGAATGGCTTTTGTACACCGTCGACGGGTGGCCATCTAAGTCTAAGACAGTTTTGACTGTATTCAAGAAAGGAATAAAAAACACACACACACACATAGACAGACAGACCATCAATAGTTTATTTATAGAGGCACCAGCCATCCATGTCCAGGTGCTGTTTTAGCCACATAGACAGACAAACACATACATATACACACACACGCACACACACTTGTCACTACTCGGGTGGGCCCCATCGACCACCAAAGTTATTAAATCGTCCACTAGTAGGCGATGTCGGCCAGATTAGCAAGCACTAATGTACTTTCTTTCCTGTGACAAGTAGAACACTCATTTATTCTATGGTAGTAAAGACAGAACGCACAACGTGTCCAGCTATAAAGGGCGTCTGTTTTGAGGCCCAACAAAATTTACTCATCTTTCGCTTTTAGTCTCTTTAATAATAAATAAAATATTATGTCCAGTTGGTTTTTGTAAAGGCATCTTTGGTGTAATTGTTACACTTTTTTAGACAGAAGACGTCAGTTCCATTCCGGAGTTTGGAATTTTATCTGATTATTTCCGCCCCTGTCGACACAGTCTAATTATTTTAAAGGCTAGATCATTTGACCATGATCGATATAAATCATTAATCTATACATTATATTTGTGAAAGTTAGTCACTTTGGCAGCCTAAAACTTCCCAACCACATAACTTTCGAATTTGAAAAAAATTAATAGTGGTCCAGAATCATTCAAAGGGTGCACAGTTTTATTGATGAGCCCGAAGTCACTGTAGTTTAATTTTCAATTTTTTCATTAGTTTCGTTTAGATATAATCTTAGGAAAGTTCGTCTTTAAAGACGCCATTGTAAACAAGTGAGGTTTCTGTTCAATAACCGTGCGCACTAATACCACGCCTTTGATAATCTGGAGTGTACAACCATGAAAGCGGAATAGAGAATCAATCTATACATCTATTATTTGGCAACTGGAAACACATGTGTCACTTTTCTCTAAAGATTTATTTTTCCATTCCTGTAGAGTGTAAATATAGTAGGCCACGGACTTTCAGTTCATGTGAATGCACCGATCATTCCTTTCATCGAAAGGGTGCTCAGCTAGTTATGCTATGTTTGCATATTAATGCCACATTTTAAAAAAAACCGTTAATAAATATTAAAAAACAGTTGCTATAATATGTTTTTTTCTCAATAAAACGCTAACTGTTCATCTCACCATCACATTTTCTTTCTTGTTTGCACCCCCATCTCAAACCTCATCTATATCTTCCTTTTTCGATCGTCTTTGTTGAGTTTTGCAAATTTTGTTTTGTTCACACCTCCTATATATTCATTACCTTAGTATCATTGTAGCTGCTTTGACTACTGTCAACTATCCCCTGCTTCTCTTCCTCCTCATGCTACTGCCGTGGCTGCTAATACCACTTCTACTTCACCACTACTACTTCTACTTCCACTACCACTACCCCTATCACTACCATTGCCATTACAATTATCACTACCACTACATCTACCACTACCAATATCACCACCACCACCACCACCACCTACTACTAGTATCACTACCACTACCACTACCACTACCACTACCACTACCACTACCACTAC